GAACTTCCTGACCTCAAACCTTGTGGGCGGGACTAAGTTCGGAATGGCACCTAGGCTAGCCAAACGGTGCCAGGGAATTGGAACACACGGTTTTTGATTCTCTTCCCTATTCAGCAAACATTGTTGATCTAGTGAGAAGAGCGCTGGAATAACGAGGCAACGGTCCATTCAGGGATTTAAAAAGAACAATCAAATCTTTTAATGGATTCTTAAAGCCGCAGGCAGCCGGTGCAGCGTTATGGCGCTACTGCCAGCAAGACGAGCTGCATACGTTCTTGGACGTAAGATGGCCGCAGGCTCAGACGACGGCTCGTTGTTGAGTCGCCTGGTTAAATTTTTGTTCCTGTTTATTCTTTTCCTCAGATGGTCCCGGTTCAGATTCATCTCACCACAGCTCGGTACCAGGATCCCTCAACAGCATCTGAAGCAGCGTGTCGCCGTCCACCTGCAGGCCTCTTTCTCTCGCACACACACACTGCTGCTGCTGCTGCTTTCTGTCCTCTAAATAATCTGTACAGTAAATCTGTTAAATGACTGTTAGCTCTGTAGCTGCTGGCGTGGAAACGGCAGGAGGTTTGATAGTGGGGGCTGGTCCTCTGAAATAGAACGTCTTCTTTTTTAATTAGCCTTTTGTGTTAATTTATTTGACTTTCTGTATGATGTGGCAACATATTATTATGATTTTTATTCCTCTGTGATTTTAAATCCCAGTTTTAAAGCGATGGACTGAATTCTGTCCGAGCGACACCAGAGTCGGGTCTGCAGGTGATCCGGCCTCTCGGCTTTGGTGCAAATAGAAGCACTAGCACCAGCTACGCTTAGAGATGCATTCCTGAAGCTGTTGTTGCCAGGCAACCGGCTGATTATATTAGCTAACTAGCTTCGTAGCTCAAAGATGTGATTCCCGAACGGCTTATTTTAAGACGTTAGACGGATTGAAGCTCAGATGGTTTGACTTCAGACAGTGGACGTTTTTTTTCAGTAGCAGAGGCGTCTGAAAATAGATCAAAACGTAGAAATGTAAACTAGAACCAATCTGGTTGTTAGAACAAGTGATTTCCAGCTTTTAATGCAAAATCCTGCTGAGTATAACTCGCTTCGCTTCGTATGCGAGAGCCAACCTGACCGCAGGTTGATCAGCGGCTGAATATAAATCACTCAGAAACAGTCGGTCTTTATTAGCCGCCTCAAAATTAGCATCTGTTGGTGAGCGCCCTCCGCTGGATGAGGGAGGGAATTTTTTCAGGTTGGAGAAGCGACGGCTCAGTCCAAACACTCTCCATCCTCCAATGAAAGGAAAGGAGAAGCTTCCACCTTTCAGCAAAGCTTTGATCACAAATATCTGTTTGATGAAAGATTACGACTGTTGTTCTTATTAATGAGCAATAAGGAAAAGTTTAATCAGTCGACGCTCTAAAGAAATCTGAAACGAGTCGTTTCTGTGAAAACTTCTCATGTTTTTGGTCCCTATTTTAAAGGTTTTCTATATTTAAACATCCTCAAAACACTTCTTTTTATTATCTATGAGTATCACCATGTTTTCGGGGAGGAATTAATCCAAATTCTTTTAATTTTTTATTTTTAGCGGTGATCTGAAGGCCCTTAAATCAAGCTGAGGAGTTTTTTTATCGGAAGTGTTGGAGTTTTCCTGCTTATCCGATGGAATAAAAGCTGCTTTACGTTCAGTTCTTTTGACGTGCTGAAGATGAGGCAGATGTTGAGGTTTCTGGGAGCTGCTGTCTTTCTGTCTCACATTCGTTTGAGGACAGAGAATTGAAACTTTTAACCAGGAATTGAGAATTTAGAAACCCGGCGAATGTTTTTCCTTATGTGTGTCGGAGATTCTTCACGCCTGCCAACTGTTTTAGGGTTAGGAGCCAGATTTTAGTCGGAGCGCTTGGAAGTTTGTAGTTTTAGTATATTTGATACTCCGGTTCCATACGGACCGCCTGCTGTTTCTAGCTGCTGCCTGAGCTCCTCTCGCTGTTTAATTCACACATTAGGAGGAGAGTCGCTGCCAACTGGTTTCTAACTGGGAAGCTGCCAGTCTGATGAGGTCACTGCCGCCCACATGCCCGCTTTATGTCCACACGGCGCTGCTGATCGTCCCCGCAGGGCGCGTCGGCGCTCAGAGCTGTCAGGATTACTACGGCAATGAAAAAGCGTGAAAATAAAATAAAAACCCTGCAGGGAGGAATCAGTCCGGGCCGATTTTTTTCTCCTCGACTCTCAGAAGCCATTGATTTCCTCACTCTTATTGCACATGTAAATATCACTGATTTTATTTCTTTCCTTTTTATTAAAGACAGAGTCGGTTAAATTTGACCTTCCTCATTCTGTCGATGAAGATGTCTTAGTTTGTAAATACGTTTTTTTTTTTTTTTCTCCACAATTCAAAATGTAAATAAGGAAAAAAAAAAAATCGAACTGCCACTCATGTTTGCAGATGATGTTTTTCTCTCTCTGTCATTTTTTGTGAAAACTGTGAAGAAACTCTGCGGTTCTCCTTCCATCGGTCCTCTCCGGGTCCGTCCCGAGTTCTGAGAGGGTTCTGTTCTGAAAAGCCGTCTTCCGCTCTGATCCTACTTCAGATTAAACTCAACTTGACTGAATGTCGCTTGTTTTCTGTCCACCTCTTTGTCTGAAAACTTAAACTGCTTATTTTTGTGGTTGTTTCCATTTATAATTAGATCTGAAGCATTTTAATTTGTAGTTTTATTATGTTTCCAAACATTTTGAGGAGTTTTCTGCCATTTTTTGACCTGAAAAACTGATCCTGGAACGAGTTCAGATTAAGAGCTCTGACGCTTCTTTTTTTAGACCAATCTGGATCTGATCATTGTAAATAAAATCCAGCCTCTTTTTCTTCTCGGTCAAACATTTTGTTTAATAGTAATAAAGTCTGAAGGGTTTGAAATCTGAACCAAACCCATTGCTGGAGTCACATGTCCAATTTAAAGCCTTGATCTCAAAGCGTCCAGAAGCCATAAAACAAAATAAACTGTGAAATTAACATTTTTATCCTCATTAATCGAATTTCTAAGTTGGTGCGAGAACAAACGGTTTATCTTTGTCCTTTGACTCATGATCTTCAGTCACATAATCATAATAAAATAAATCATGAACCAGAAATTCAGTCATAAGATTATTGAAACTGAGGTTTAACCCAATCATGAGACTTAAGCAAGAAACATTTAATTTCTTTCTGTTTCTATGCAGACATAGAAAATTATCAGACTTCCAGATGATGTAGAGGCCCTCTAGAGAGAAAAAGAATGTTAAACGTGGACATATTTTAACGTTTCTGGGGCGATTGAAGTATTTAAAGCAGGTTTTTGTTTTGCACAGTTCTGGATATATAGAAAATGTGATTTTCAACTCTCAAATTCGTTCACTTTTGTTTTAAATAAGTCACAAGAGCATTCTGAGCACTTTTTACTCTTGTTTTCTACTAAAGACAGATCAAATCTGACCGTCTTTCTTAAATAGTCCTTCATTTGTAACCTCCTGACGCTCAATAGCTAAATATTGCAATAGGCAGAATTTCTTATCTGGTTTTTTAAATTAATTTTGTAGTTGATTACATTTTTAGAAATGGACCAAAATTTTAAACATCTGAAATATTAATATTTGTTTAGCAGATTAATCTGCATCGAAGGGAAGCGGTTTCTTTATATTTCTTTGTCTGGACTTCTGTATAGTTAGAGGTGAGATCAAATCACGCCGCTTCTAAACCAGGCGGTCTAATTATTCAAATCAGAGATAATCGATTTGAGGCTCTGTTTTGTGTCTCATTCCTCCGAAGTTTTATTTTTCTTATTTTTATTATCATCCAAGTTCTAAATAGATCCAACAGAAGGAAGGTAATTTATTTTGGATGTTTTCTGTTCAGGTTACTCAGCTTTGTGAGCCTGAATGTTCATTTACCATGTCTTACCTGTAGAGGGCGTTGTTCAGACAGGAAGTGTTTTAACTAGCTCCTCTATCTTCTCCCATTTGGATCAGAACCCTGCACAGTCTGACTGATTATTAAAATCCTGGGCAGTATTTCAGAGAAATGTTTCACATTACCTCAAACCTCAGTTTATCCTGATTAAACTGATGCTGACGTGTCGCTCGTTGTTTTAGTCTTTTGTTTTCTTTTCCTTCTGTGATAAGCTGTTAATGTTGGACTGTTCAGGTGATGGAGAAGGTTGAAGGGGAAAGGGAGAGAGAAACACAAACCTGTCCGTCTCTGTTGTCTGTGTGTATGATATCGACTCATTTACTGTAATAAAGTGGTGAAACTGTGTCTGAAGCGTCTGTCTGAATCCTTCCTCGTTTTCTTTCCCATTTCATCGCTTCTCCACACTTCAGAACCTGATACTTCCTGGATCATTGAATGAGGTCACCTCTAGGATGCCAGGATCCAGTTTTTATTCATGGAAGCAATTAGAGGTGGTGGACTCATAGTAGCTTAGCTTTCCTTTTTTTCCCAAGGCAATATTCATCCCAAACATTCAGGATTTAAGGAAATAGCTGCACCACGTTTCTGGTCTGGTTAATCTGTTCTCACACTTCCACCAACGTTGAATTGAAGAAGCTGCATCGATGGCAGCACACCTCTGAAGTTAGTCCTGATATATATTTTTTTCAGATTTATTCAACTTTTATGAGCCTCAATTTTGTTGAGTTTGGTTTAGTATTTATTTTAGTACATCTTTCAGACAGTAAATGAACATTTCTATTCTATAAATGGCAGCAGTGATCAAATGTAAACAGTGTGTGAGGAAAAAAAAATAAATTTTGACTTTATGAAGCCTTTAAAAATTGGAAATAAGCAGCACAATATAATATTTATATAATATTTCATAACGCAGAATATTAGTTACAATATTCCTAACAGCAGCTTCCTGCATGTGAGGCATGTGCACCTGTCTTCAGAGGTAAGCCTTATAAGAATATAGTGATTTTATCATATAAAAGTAGTCATTCTGTTATAAACTTTAGTGATATAAGCTTGGGCTCTTTCACAGCTTTACATATAATTATTGGATTAAAATCTACTGATATTTGCAAAAAAATTGATTCAATATATGTTTCATTTCACTAAGGAAACGTTTTTTGTTGCAGTCCCACCTCTGACCAGCAAGGGGCGCAGCTTATTACTCGGATTGTTAACCCAGAGCTCAGCATTCATAGAAGAAGAACGAAGAAGGGAGAAGTCGGAGTTGACTCTCGAAGGTAATTCTCGCAGTTTATTGGTTTTTCTTCCACTTAAAGCTCTGTTTATCGTGGTTCAGTTAGAAAATCACCTAGAAACTGACGGTTACTTTTCAGATATGATACTGTTTTGTTATAAAATACGTTTTAGCTGAATGAAACTTAAGCGCTGCTAAGCTAGGAGCGCGTTAGCATCAAGGCGACGCCGGCGGCTTGGAAGAAAAAAAGCTCAAAAACGCGGTAGTTTGTTTCACATTAAACGTTTAATTAACTTTTACAGATAAAACGGCTTTAGCAGACTGGGTCTGAAGCGGTTGATTTATATTGGTAGTAATTAGCGGGTTTCTATTTCGTCAGTCGTCGAAGCTAACGAACTAGCTCTGACGATGAAGTTCGTATCAGATTTGTAGCTTAATGACTTTCTAATTAAATTTAATATTTTAGTCAGTTGTGCGGCTTTTGTAATAAAAAATCCAATTAAATTAAGAAACTTCCTCTTAAAAACGGAATTTTAAAATATTTACATTTTCAGCATTTATATACTTTGAAAGTCTTCTGATACTCCAATCAATTCAAACAGTGAATACTTCTTTGATAATTACAGCTTCAGCTAATAAAATTATTACATTCAACCAATGTTTTTAAAATGAATATAGAAACGTTTATCATATGTTCATCTATAGGGAAGGCTGCTGGATGTTCTGTTGTCTAATCTCTAATAAAACTCAGATTAAAGATTAAAAGGCTGTATCATATGGAAAGTTAAGTGGAAGGAAAAAATATGTTTGAAAAAGGAGTAAAAGCGACATTATTGAATGGATTGTGGGCAGAGTCATTTAATGGCAGCTTCAACTGCAGCTTGAGTCCATATTTTATGTCAGAATAATCTCAGCTGGGCCTTGGGGAATAAAGGAAGTTTCCCAGTGGACCAAAATCATCCTCTTAGGTCAAAGTGAATTTTGCATTTAACTTGGAATTAAAGGTCCAACAGTCTGGTGATATTTCTTCTTGGTCTGATGTGATGTTTTCCACAGTCTGTCGTGAGTTTGGAGCCATTTTTTCTGATAGGAATGGCCCGGTTTTCAGGTTGAAAGTTAGTAGTGCCGGGAAATATTGGAGCACTTCATGCTGAGCTGATGAGCTTTAAACAGACGCTGATTAGATTTTTCACAAGGATTCGGCACCGATTCACTCTAAATTCAATCATTGATTCTTCCCCTCTCAATTCCCATAGAGTCGGTCGCTAATCTCCAAGGTTTTCAGAAGTTTTAACCATATTTTATAGAAACATATTTTCATTTTCTGATATTTCTATGGTAGTCTCTCTTTTCTCATTTTTGCATTTGTCCAGTAAACAATCACTAGCACTCTAAACTAAGGAAGAGGATTAGGGCCACTGGGAAAAAAACAGTTAACTGATTTTTAAATTTTATTTCAGTTTAGTATGGGAAAAAAGTCTGAGATTAAAGTCAGAATTCTGACTTTTTTTCACATACTAAACTGAAATATTATGTAAAAATCAGTTAACTTTTTTTTTTTCAAGTGGCCCTAATCCTCTTCCGTACTAAACACCCCTGTGTGTAATGGCTGTAAATCTTAACCCTATCTTTAGTCAGGTTACTGAAATATTTCCTTTAGATGTAACTATTTCAATCAAACTGGTTCTTAAATATTCGGAAATAAAATGTATATCAATTGAAAACATGCGAGTTAAGAAACATGGTTTTATTTTTGTGAAAAGAGGGAAGATCAATTTATTTTTGAATTGTCTGCTTATGTTGTAACAGTTTAGTTTGTGCTGCCAGAAAAATAAAGATATTTCCTTTTTTTCCCGACTTCATTAAAACTGAGTTTATTTGATTACCATGTTGACTACTGACATAAAGAAAAACATTAAATGTTTTCTTTTGTTGTTCTCCATATCTAAATCAGGGCTTGATGTTAAGGGTTTTTACATCTTACATTTCATCTGCCCAGAAACAATTTTTACTTGCCCAGTATAATGTTTGATAAATATAGTTCCTAATATTCATTTTTGTATATATAATCAATGAAACATGTTTGTTTTTGAAATGTTTCCAGGTTCCTGGTGTGTATCTGCATGCGTCAGATAATGAACTCAAGCCTACATTACCGTGTTAACATGCTTTTCAATCCTTCCTGCACATTCTTTTCAAACTAAACTTTGCTTTAAACTGTTGTGTGCTTGGGAAAATATAAATTGTAATGTTAAAAATCTAAAAAAAAAAAAACTTGACAGGTTAAAAACTTAAGATAAATCACAAGACAGAAGTCAATGTCACAAATGAAAAACTTTTATTTTAGAGTCACGGTATATTTATACAAGATAATACTATTAATATAATGTTACTTTTCTAGAGAATCATTATAGTTATTTTATTCAGGGTTTCCACAGTCTGACATCATTTCAGAATTCCCTGACAAAATAAATGCAGCAACAAGACAATAATAATAACATAACAGGTCACCAATCTAACATGTTTAGCTCTATAACATTTAAATGCACCTCTCCAATGTCTAAGAGAAAAAATTTTTATGAAAATTTTTTAATGTATGACCTGTACAGAAGACTGCCATATGATAGTCATATTTACACTGTGTGCATGGCATACATTATGCTAATTTTCCTAATCCCTGAACAATGATTTTTAATCTAGGGTTATCTGGGTAGAGGGTAAAATAGATGGTGGGTGTGTTACTGTACATACTTTTTTTTTTGCCTTGTGGTTGTTTTGTAGTCTGCTAACTCAAAAAAATGTGTCGGATTCACGTCAATTCCCAAAAATCCCGCCAACTGGCTGAAAATCATGCGAGAATGTGTACAAAACAACAAAAATGGCGCCGCCGACGCTTCTGGGTCGTTTTCATTGAATGTCGGTGATTTTAAAGTAATTTTGACTAATTTTTTTTTTTTTTTGCGATCATTGCACTTGCACAGCGGGAAAATGCAATGAAATTTGTTCTCTCCCAACAATAAAAAATACTTGCCCCAGGTGATGGTTAACATCGAGCCCTGTAAATTAATCTTGATCTGAGCTAAAGTTAATTAGAGGTAATCCAGGTTCTTTACTCTTCATCATCACAGCCCTTTTCTCTGTGGTTTTGATTATATTACTTTATTTATGCAGTTTAGTGTTTACTAATAGGATACATTACTTATAATTGCTGTAGAGGTCATCTGTGTAGATTAAGGTTTACTTTTAGAGGTTTGACCCTTGGTTGGGATTCAATACGTCGCCTGCAGGCTCCCATTTTTCATGCAGCTTATGCTGCTTTTAGTTCAGCTCCTTTTTTTACCATCAGAAATTAAACTGCTGTTTTGTATGAGAATGTCTCAGAGCTAAAGATTAAAGTAAGTTTAGGTTCTGGAAAAGGTTCTAGCCCTTTCTATAAAGACTGTTTATTGGAAAATGGCCGCCTCTGAAACCTTTGCCCCTCCTCCTGCAGGTTGAAGCTGAGAGCCATGGCTCGAGGGCAGCAGAAGATCCAGTCCCAGCAGAAGAACGCCAAGAAGGCGGCAGAGAAGAAGAAGTCTCATGGCGCCGACCAGAAAACAGCCGCCAAGGCAGCACTGGTCCACACCTGCCCCGTCTGTCGGGTTAGTACCAACAACTTCCTCTAACTCATCAGATGGAAACTTTAAAATTTCTTTAAAATGATTTTGACAAAACTTTGCATTTTTATATAAAAGAATCTCTTTTAATTAACTTATCTTGGATGCATTTGAGCTGAAACCTTCTGGTTTTTGGATGGTTCCTTCTCTGTTTGAGCCACACGTTCTCAGTTCTGGTTCCCATCATCATTATAATGCTCCTCATCTTCCTCCTTGTTTTCAGACGCAGATGCCAGACCCTAAAACCTTCAAGCAGCACTTTGAGAGTAAACATCCCAAGTCCCCCATGCCGCCTGAGCTGGCCGACGTTCAGGCATAAAGGAAAAACCCGAACCAGGGTGAGTCGCCTGAAGCATCAACTCATTACAGCCTGATTTAAAACGGCAAACTTTCATTTGTTTACTGTAGTAGTTTTTACATGACATGCGAAGCAAAACATGTCTCCTGTTAGACTCAGTGAAAAAGTGTATACTAGGGTTGTCATGTTTATAAAATGTAAAACTTTATACCACAGCATCATTTTATTCAAAGCAAGGTTATTTCTGGTTAAAATCTGCACAAAAAATACAATATGACAAAGTTTACTTCAATTATTTTATTAGTGTCTTAAGTCTCTGGAGGAAAGAAATAAACAGAAATACAATAAAAAATAAATGACAAAACAATTAAAGGTTGCTTTTAAACATTTAAATTTCCCTTTGGGATCAATAAATTCATATGTAGGTGATTATGTTAAAAACAAGTGTAATTTAATTCTAAAACCATAAATAAATAAATTGGTGGAATAATTTTAACAAAGTAAATTTTATAATTTATATATTCCTATCTAATTATGTTATATATTTTCAGTTCTCCTTTAATATAAATAATCGTGTCACTTTGTTGTTTTAAACAGTAGACCAGATAACAGCGACAGCACTGATAATATTGTGTATTAGTGGTGCAACAGATCACAAAACTCACGGTTTGGATTGTGTCGCGGTTTTGAGTCATGGATCGGACAGTTTTTCGGATAACCAAAATAAGAAAGACTATATATATATGAGTCCTTGGTACTTGTTGATGGCTATAAAATTATTTCAAAGAGCATTAAATTGGAGTTGTTGATCATTCCTGTATAAACGCTGGATTCTGTCACTAAAGACTGTTTAAATGGAGCAGTGATAAGTGGTCATACGGCTTTTTCGTGCCGCAGCGCCCACATACCGTCATTGGCCGCGTCCGAACGTCCGCCCTAACTCCTAGATTCCTCTGTTACTATATAGACTTCAGAGATGGGAAGTAACGAAGTACAAATACTTCGTTACTGTACTACTTATTTTTATGGCGACTTTTTACTTCTAC